TGAGGAAGCATACTGGTTTGATGATCTACAACAAAATCAAACTTTACTTTAATACTGATTTCTCAGTAGGTAACATCAAAAGTGGAAAAAGTTGGTCAGAAACATACATTTACACACAAACTGACCACCAAACGCAACTTTCAGATGCCATCTTTATGTTTTAGCTCAACTGTCAAGGAATGGAATGACTTTTTAATTTACAAGAAAATATCTGAGTTACTTTTTCCAATAAGTAACACCAGTTACTTAGTTTTTTCCCTTTTATTGACTGACAGCTCTCCCATTCCCATGTTGAGAGAAATCGGGAGTAAGTGCATGCATTTACTCATCTCACTCGCACAAAAACAGATCCAGTAGTCCTCAAAATGAATAAAACGAGTGAAACGCAAACTCAGAATATGACCTTTTTCTGCATCCTATTCCGCATGCAATCTATAATGGCAGGACAGCTGAAAGGTTTGTTTGAACCATGCCCTCTATTGTACATATGAGAATTTACATTTCCTTCATCCTGATCGGATTCATTTCGCTTTCGGTATCAAAATAGAATAGAACTTTTTCCTCTTAAAAACAAACAAGCAAGCCAAGACCTGGTTTAAGAAATAGTCAAGTCAAGTCTGCTTTATTGTCAATTCTTCCACATGTACAGCACATACACACAGAGAATTGAAATTGCGTTACTCTCAGACCCTTGGTGCATACAGATAACATAAATACAGATAGGTACAGATTAAATACAAAATACAACTACACAAATATACAAATAAGGTCAAATGTAAAAAAATATATATATAAAGCACAAGGCATATATAAATATATATATATAAAGCACAAATAACACAAATGTAATATAATGCATTGCTTTTCATAAGTAACTAGGTAAAATAAATGAGTTACTTTTTAAGGGAGTAATGCAATATTGTAATGCATTACTTTTAGAAGTAACTTTTCCCAACACTGTTTATTTATATGGACACCCAGCGAGAGTCTAGATATAACAGAACAAATCTGGATTATGTGGAAGTTTTGTTGTTGAATGGATGTTGAAAAAAAAATCATATATTAAAACTGTAATCCCCATTTGCTCAATCTGATCAGCAGTTCTTTAATTAGTAAGGTTGACTAATCAAATAAATAACCAAAAGTGCTTATTTTATCTAAAAAAAGTGAAGCATTTCCACATAGCTGGCTTTTTGGGAAAACAAGTGGCCATCCGAGATCAGGATGAGTTTGTTTCTTCATCAGGTTTGGAGAAACGTAGCATTGCATCAGTGTCTCAGCAATGGATGCTCTGCAGTGAATGGGTGCCGTCAGAATGAGAGTCCAAACAGCTGATAAAAACATCACAATAATCCACAGCACTCCAGTCCATCAGTTAACATCTGGAGAAGACAAAAGCTGAAACTAATCCTGCATTAAGATGATTTTAACTTAAAACCAAAATATGAATCCATAATAACTGTTTGTGCATCGGTTTGATGTTAAAAACCTCTTAATGATGGATTTGTTTCTTATAAACACACAGCTTTTGACTTCACCAGATGTTCACTGATGGACTGGAGTGCTGTGGGTTATTGTGATGTTTTTCTCAGCTGTTTGGACTCTCATTCATTCATTCGTTCATTGAGTTCACACTGATTATTACCATGGGACACACACAGATGAGTTGCTATGGTGGCGATGTGGACTTTGGAGGCTGAACATGGCATTGCTTGTAAGCAAAGCTATGAGATAATAGTAGTGTTGTTTGCCAATGGGTGATAAAAAAGGTCAGATCTAAATTTCATAACTGGATCTGCTTGCTTAGATCAGTTTGTTTTGACATTTGACTCCTCGTGTTGTGTTCCATTCATTCTGACCTGTCGAGGAGTTAGTTTTAACCGAAAACCGGCTTGTTAATATTATTGCATTGGACTAAAACTTACTGACTTTGCTCACACAGGGTATAACAACTTCCCAGAAAAATGTTGATCATTTTTGTAACGTGGATTTAAAAAAATTTTTTTTTAATGACAGGTTTACGAAAATTGCCTTCGTCATTTCTGACTAAAAAAAAAAACAGACCAGTGTCTAAAAGCTGCTGTGTGACAAGGTGTACAGCAAATAAGCTAAAAAAAAACAGAACTACGTTTTTATAAGCTGTCGACCCAAAAAAACTAGTGCTTAAGGACACAAATAGTTGTAGATGTCGGGGTATTTCACATTGGGCCATTCAGTTGGATTATTTCTCAAACAAAAGGAAGGTAAGGTAAAGGGACCAATAAAATTTTGTTTCTCAATATATCTCCTCCGACCAAGTTCACACAGGGTTGTCGTATGTTAGACTAGTTTAAGTGTTTATGTAGTTAATAAAACCTTACTTGTATCACACTTGACGTGTTCATTGTTTACTCATAACCGGAGTCAATAATCATGCAGATTTACGTTACAAACTTATAGAATTGTACAGTAAGAAAGTTATTTCCTTTAACCAGGAAATTAACGTTCTTAGAGTTGACAAGACGGTTGACCCTGAGTGGTCAGCTAAATATCTACAGTGGATCTAAAATATTAATAATTAATCATAATTAGTTATGGTTAATTATTCATATTTCCCCATGAGCTGATTCGCTACACAATATATCTCCTCCTCTCAGGTTCACACAGGGTGGTGAAATAATCCTTTGACGGTAAAAAAATAACAGCTTATAAAAACGTAGTTCTGTTTTTTTTTTTAGCTTATTTGCTGTACACCTCGTCACACAGCAGCTTTTAGACATCAATGCTCGCAAAATCCCTAGTAGGCCTTCGGGCAGGTGCTCTTCAGATTTTGGTAGCCTGAAAATTAATTTAAAAATGTTTAAATTTTAAGTATAGAAAATCAGATAGGAGTTTAAATGTAAATCAAAAATATTTTCAATACACAAATATGAAGGAAGGAATTTTATTTCACTATTTACAGGGTATCTGCAGAATTTAAAAAAATACATTTAAGGCAATTTATGACCCATTTTAACAGCTGCACAAGTAAAAATGAACACCGTATGAGAGGGCTTGAGTATGAGCAAAAATCTTATACACCAGCATTTCAGCTCTGCGATCATTTTTATGAAAAGGGATAAATCAAGCATATAAATTGTCAATTTAAAACGTATAAATATTACTGTCTTAATTGTTTAGATTTTTAGAAGGCACATTAACTTCTTTCTCATTTACAACTCTGTGTTTGCTGCGTAAAAACATGAGTTGATATTTGCATTGATCTGACCATAAACTGCAAGAAAGGCTTGTTGGAAATGCTAATTAATTCTTTGCCACGAGGTGGCGCTTTAAGAGCGCTGAAATACTGAGATTTCCCCGGTCACGGCTGTGTACATGAAGCAGCTCTGCGCTCACAAACGCTGCTTTATCAGGGATTATAGGTAAAATGAAATTAAAATGCCAGCGACACGTTTCTGAGAACCGTCGGTTCCCTTCAGATACATTCAAATAAAGACATCCGCGCCGCATTTTGACGTGAAACGGGCAGCGCTCATTAGAGGTCGACCGATGTATTGGTTTTGCCGATTAATCGGCACCGATAGTTCATTGCTGGAACTATCGATTATCGACAAAAAATCCATGCCGATAGTTTTCCGGGTTGCGTCCATTGCTGGAGCGGCTGAGAAGGGTCTGCTGTCATTACACAGTGTGAGAGCGGCCTCTAGTGGTTGAAATCACTGACAGCACGTGCTGTTTGTTTAGACGTGATACTGCACGCTGAACAAAGCGGGAAACTTAAATGTAATGAATTGTGTATTGTGCATTTTCAGCAAAACGTTTGTCTTTCTGTGGCTCTAATAAAGTCTGTGTGCTTCATTTATAGAGCTATAATATAGGTCGCGCTTTCTCTTTCCGTTAGCTCCGTTTTTTAAACACCGAACTTCAAACTCATCTATGCCAAACTGTTCATTCTTGAAGTAAACTTGTGTCCGTTTGGTGATTAAATAAACTGTTTTAGACCGCTGCTCGAGTTGAACGCGACGCGTCTGGAGTGTGTGTGATACCGGTGAGTTCTCCTAGACTCAGCGCTGCGCTTTTATTTTGATTAGATAATCATCAAGTGTTCAACAATAGAAGCAGGTAAAGTCTGAGAGTATACATACAATA